GTGTGCGTTTTGTTTTGTTTTTGCGGACCTGAGGATTGAACTCAGGACCTTGTGCTTGCTAGGCAAGCCCTTATTCTACTGAGCTATCTCTCCAGTTCCATGTATATCTGTATATACAAAATAGTTAGCATAAATATACAGCTACTTTCTCTTAGTTCAGTGAGAAGAAAGATTTGTACTAAATGGTGTATAGACAAGATATCATGTCTGCATCTTGTGCTATGTATAACTACTACAAAGACAACAATATGCAACGTATTAATTATTGTAACTATCCTACTAACCTGTTTTAAAACTTTCTCATTGCTATTTCTTTCTCAATAAAATTAATTTTTTTTTAACAAAGAAAACTTAAATCATAGCATTCTAGCATACTAAACAGTTGTGGGAAAAGAAATAAAATGATATATGCATTGCTATTTATAGATGACTTTTGGTTAAATGTACCAAAATTCCTAGAAATGTACTTGTCTCCAGGTTGAACCTTTATCATTTCACTTAAAATTTACTGAATAAAATTAGTTTAAAATATTAACTTAACAAGAATGCTGTCATTCTGCATTTTGGTTATTTCTAGAAGTCATTTTCAGAAGTAACCTATATACCTTTTGTGCCTCTTTATTTCAAACTCTTCATATTACTTATTTTTCAGGCCAATAGAAATTGCATAGCAATTGCTTCCAGCCATGATGTTCAAGAACTGGATGTTTCCGGAATCCTGGCTACACAGATCTATACTTGGGTAGATGATGATATAGAATTGGAAACAAAAGGGTATACATATATTTTGTTTTTATAGAGTAACAATATGAGTAGTTATATCTGATAAGCTATAATTTTTCTTGAAATGCATACTCCTAGCTTGTGAATAGAGATAAGGGCTAGAAGGAGCTTCACAAAAGGAAATGAGAGGAGAGTGAGTGCACGTGATGGAAATTGGGTTGGAAAATCATAGTGAGTTAGGAGCTGAAGAAAATTAATTTTACAAAGAAATACAAAGTCATGGGCCTGGGAGATGGCTCAGTGGAATAAGCACTTCCCTGGCAAGCGCAAGGGCCTGAGTTCAATCCCCGGTTCCGCCAAACAAATAAATAAATAAATAAATAATAA